TCCACTAATAGCCCCGTTTACTGGCAACACCTTTTGACTCAACACCTGGGACCACTTAAAACTGTAACGTAGTATGCCGCCTAACTTCTAAATAATGTAATTGGTTGGGAGACATCCAAGCGCAAACACGACTTTCGTGAAACTTAGCCTTGTTACAATGAAGACGGCTGTTTGAGTAACGGCGAAGACTTACAAAGATCTTTTATCTTCTGAAAGGAGAAACGTGAAAATACGAACCAACTGAATAAACTAAATTAGGTTCCTTGAGATATTTCCTTATTCTTTTTCGCGTTACCATATGGGGACATTTGACATTTTCAGATTACGCCCTACTATTTGAAATTAATCGCATTTTTATAAAGCACCAAAATCGAAGCTTCATTTATTTCTGAAGTAAATAATTTGTACCTTCATAAATTAGTTTAATTACACACTAATTCACAATGAACCTTGGGGGAGGCCTTTGTCCAGCAGTGGACGTCATTTGGCTGAAACAACAACAACAACAACACACTAATTCAGTTTAAGAATACTACCATGTTTTACCGTAGACTCATTCTACGGTTAATAAACTATTAACGACAGTAAGTCATGTAAAAGATTACACAATCTTAATTGAAAGTTTGAAAGTAAACAAAATTATCTCAACCCTGATATTAATTGAAAGGCAGTTCCATTAATTAATGATTCTCAGCTGTCGTTAATATTCTGTAACGGGTGGCGGAGACGAGCCCGTCACAATTAGCGGTTCCTACAGGACCTGTATTAATAGCGGCCACCTCCCGCCACCGCTCACTATGCATGCCCGTTTATCAACCTGAATAGATTTTCATGACAGCGCAATTAGTAGAAACTAATTGCGTTGCAAGTAGAAACTTGCTACGCTAATTAAATACCTTGGGAAGTTGAGGTATTTCAAACGTTAGTAGCTTTTTAGATTTCCGGCATAGTTTTTCACATAATTATTTGATAATGTCGCTGAATATGCTATGATTATGATTGAATAATAGGACTATGATTAAATCATGAAAACTATTTTAAAATAAGTGTTATTATTTTAAATCCATAGTTTTTTATTAATCTCAATCTTTGGAAAATATTTCTGCTACGTGTCACGTTAGAAACACCACATGAAACGTACTTAGGCCTACCACCTTGAATCTGTCTACAATTTTAACTGCGGCGACTCATTGAAATGCAAAACTATGCACTGGTTCATAAAATTCCCCGCTTTAATGAACTTTGATTCCCAACCACGGCCTAATTAAAGTATACAACACAGGTGAGCGGCCCGCCGGCCCGCCGGGCATCGGTCGATTTAGCACTGAGCGGCCTGTTGACAAGCAATTAGGGCTGCAACTCATTTGGGCCGTTGCGTGCCGCAGCAGGCAGCGGCGACACGCGAAAAATCACAACACCAACTCTGCCAACTAACTGTGGTCAGGGCTGCCAACTGGTGGATTTTCCTCTAATAATGTGTAATGTTACTTGCAAAGAATATATTTATGGTTATTTTACCCGTTATAATGATGTATGAGCGTTTTTCCATTAACCGACGACGGCAACCGCATAAATTTTATAATGCATAAAATTTATGTGCCAACGCCACGCTGTCACCGTAGGTCGGCGGTAAGTGGTAAGTAAGGGTAAGCAAACTGTTATAATATTCTTATACAGAACCCCCGTTTACATTATCACTGACACGATGCCATTTTCAGCTAATTACGTACAAATCAACAACTATACCAAGTCTTAATGATCTTTAAAATAATTACAAGAGTATTCTTGAAACATTTTAATCCTTCCAATAACAAGATATGCCAAATTATGTATTGGAGGTTTTCATGTATAATATTGTTGTTTAGAGTGGGAATTTTTACCTGTCTATAGGTATTTTTTTAAATAAATTGCCATCCCTATCAGTCTCGCCTATAGTCTACATACCTACTGCCAGCTTTAAATTATTCCCCACTGTGTAAATGCTTTGAGTTGGGAAAACATGCGTGCGGTTTCCTAACGAAAACACGCGCGTGAAAAATAACTGCATTTACAGGGTAAAACGTGAATGATTACGCCTTTCATATACCGAGCGTACCATTTTGTATCTCGCGTGAGGCCGTGATACTGTGTTTATTTATACAAAATTAACATTTCAGAAAAGCTCGTTTAGATAAAAGCTGTCGGTTTTCACGCTACAGTATTTATAAGGAATCTTACAGAAGATTTTCTCCTCTCCGTGGAAAGGTCTGCACGTGACACCTCCATTGAAGCTAAGGAGCACTCGTAGATAACAGCAAAAGAATGGACCGGCTTCAGAACTCGTTATAACGAAAACAATGATCGCCGGAAATCTTAATTGTATCTCGCGCCCCGTCATGCTAACTTCTATCCCCTCCACTCGATGCCATCTCTGAAGAGAAAGTTTGAGAATTTATTAAAGGCCTATTTAGAACAAGCTGTTCAAGCTCTTTCATAATTGTTGAACGATTTATGAAATTATGCTTTATAAAAATAAATTCTTTAATCGGGATCGGCAACCCTAATTATATGTATAGCAATGGACATTATTTGATTCATTTGTCTTACTTACTTAACAATACATCAATGAGATCAGTGATCGAAAAGAAAAGGCGGTTAATACTTCTTTAATCTTTTCAATCAGTGGTTAGGTACTACTATATGAGTAGATTATTTATTTATTTATTAACCGCTTGAGTCCCAGACGGCATTCATTAATGCCATAACAATTGATTATCTATTGTGTCTAGATTCGCGGGCCTTGAAGGATTAAGGTTGGTTTTCTACCATTTCGTGTCATCTTTCAAAACTGCAATTTATCTTCACCTTATGTATCAATTGCTACTTATGGTTCCAATCATTTCTTTCTGAACTTGGCCCATAAGCGTCTTTTCCCAGATACTTACGTAACTTTGGATTAATGGCGATACGAAGTTATGTCCCCAAGGGCCCCAAACTACGGAGTGCGGCCGTGGGCTGAGTCCAGCTCACTGACCACGAGAAGACGGGACGCTCCCCGGGGCGCGCCGTGATACAACATCCTTTACCAACGCGTACACCTCATTGAATCTTATCTCGAGATTTATTTCTTCCTCTATATTATCGTGAGCAGAATAGTTTTAATAAATCACTACCTACTCACTTATTTTTACAGATTGTATTAGGTTTTCTAAGAAACAGCTTTAACGTAAACTCTTGGGAAAATGAACAGTCACGTTACGCCAGTTTTATTTAACACTAGCGGCCGCCCGCGACTTCGTACGCGTGGACCCCGTTTTACCCTTAGGGGTGAAGTTTCGAGTTTTTTAGGTTTACCCGGAAATTATTCAAACTTTTCTCGCTGTAAAAACCATCCTTGGACTTCAACAAACATTTAAAAAAAAGAATTGGTAAAATTGGTCCAGGCGTTGTTGAGTTATGCGCTTACCAACACATTTTGCGATTCATTTTTATATTATAGAAGATATGGTTGTGGCTGTGACATGTTAATAATGATAGAAATTAAGCGTTCGTGAATGTGTATGAGTGAAGGCAAATATAACAAAACAGTGCAACAAAGACAGTTTGTTGTTCGTTGTCTTAAACAAAATTGACAGATCAATAAAATGAAAAAACTTTGTGAAGTAGGTACTCAAAAGTAAATTAACCGTGCATACGAGTGACTCAATTAAACAGTCATATCGATCAATGGAAGCACGATGGTTAATAGTTATTCTGTCTGCCCCTATAGTTGTCGCAAGGGTGTCAATCAGCTCCTATTAATTTCCGAGGGTAAGGCCCAGCCTTGGGAATACATAATTTAATGAGTGCCGTCTTTGTTGCCAAGTCGCTGCAATAAATTACGGACGACACGAAAGTATGAATTTCAGACAGCTTTTCAATTGCTTAGTTAGAACTTTAACTTTGTTATGAACACCTCTCTGTCACAATTGTTGTACCTATTGTTAATATTTTATGTAAACCTTTCAAGAAAGAATGATTACAAAATGAAAAGGTGATGAAATAAATAAAAAGATCTTCACTATCAATTTCTTGCACTAATTTTGAATATGAGTACTTATGTATTTATCTAATAGATATTTTTAAATATAAACTAAGCCAAAAAGCTCCAAACTTTGCGTGTTGTATTGAAACTTGTAATCTTGAATCTCTTTATACTCAAATTTCTGAAATCAATCATAATTCAACACGTTCTTTGATCTCACTGTATACCGATCTGCCAAATTACAAAGTTAAACCCAAACTCGCTTTTCCATTGAAGTTTTTACACGCTCCCATAAGCATCGAATAAAGTCCCCAACTTCATTAATTTTGTCGATGATGCTTTTCTAAACAGAGATCAGGGTTTGCGGAAATCACATTTTCGAAGTTTGTCAGTTGTAACTTATTTTATTCTCGCCATCAAAACAAAAGCAATAACGAAGAAGACGCAAAATATTCCTATTTACACACCATTTAGGTACGTTTTTTATGAAATCGCTATCGTAGCAACATCATGCTACGACGTAGCATCGTAGCAATATTCGTAAAATTATATTTTATAATGATGATTTCCGTAGCATACTTAGCTTATAAGTACCAGAATTATCTTGTAAATTAAATTATTTTTTCACATGATGTTGAGACCGAGGAAATGTAATAATTGTGTTAATAATTTGATAATTTTCCTCATTATAATTTAATGAAATTACATCATATATCATGAGTGTTACATGTATGCTGATTACTGGGCTATCAAAAGGCGGCACCGTAGCAGATAGTATACGCTCTTTATTCTACTTTTCTAAATAGACTATCTTATGGAGCTGTTTCACCAATACGACTTATAATCGGAAAATATAATAAATGCTTCACCGCTCTTAAAGCTGTAACGTGTCTTTTCCCAGCATATCTCCCTCAAGTGGAAATTGAAACCACGACGTTTCCCTTTTAAACTAAACTATTTTGAGAAAAAGTTAAGCATTTTTTTTTATTTGTTGTAGGACGAGCGATTGAGCGGGTGTGCGCGGGCGCAGACGGAGCCGGCATGGTGTCGGCGGCGCGCGCGCTGCTGGCGGCCGTCACGCGCGTGCTGCTGCTCGCCGACATGGTCGTCGTGCGGCAGCTACTGCTGGCCAAAGACAAGGTGAGCTGCCAACCACGAGTTGCCATAGTCTACTCTAACCACTGAGAGAAGTCTTGAGCTGGCATGGTGTCGGCGGCGCGCGCGCTTTTAGCGACCGTCATTCGCTAACCACGAGTCGCCTAGTCTACTCTAACCACCGAGAGAAGTCTTGAGTAGTCCTACTTTAGAGTAGGTACAGGATGACGGAACTAATGACTCATGAATTTCTCATCAATCTTACAGATACAGTACAAGGTTGGCAGAAATAGTGCATTCATTTCTCATTACTCCCACATTTTCACATTTTTAGAGGCAAAATGTCCTTTAAATGACGCGACACGTGCAATGTACGTCATTCGATCCAATATTTTACGCATTTAGGCTGGGCTTTATTCAGAAATTACCAAAAAATACTAATTGAGTTTGTTCAATGAACTAAAGACGAGGTTGTCCCATCTGTTATGTAAATAGTCTAGCTAAATGCACCCGACGCTTCGCGCATCGGTAATGACTGATCAGGGTTTGAAAGACTTAAGTTATCCACGTAATCGTACTTAGGAGTCAGTCATCCAACATCAGTACAGTAATAACTTAAAGTTTTATAAATGCTACACTGCTCTTTTATAAGATTTGTTCCTCTGAACAAAACGCCACCCTTCTCACATTTAAAATTTCTGACTAACTTCCATTTGACCCGGATACCTGATGGAGTTTGTACATAATACAGAATCCGAAGTTCCGACCGCCTCATCAAGTAACTAGGCACTTAGCGCCTCGCAAGTTGGGCGAAGTGGGCCGGGTCACATGCAGGTGGCGCCCGACCCGACGGGACCGAATAGTTGACTCAAATCAACTATTAATTACGGATGCTGTTAACAACTATGTATTTTGGAGTTCCCTTCCCAAATGTATTGATTTTACCCTCTGCTTTAGGCAGTCGTAACGTGTAAATGCAACTCATGCTTTGATCGCTTGGACGAATAAACCACTGGACACGAAACCTACAAGATTTCTAAGGAAACACGATCAACCACTTTTTGCGGGGGGAGAGGTTTGACAATTGTCAAATAATTACATTTAGTGCTGGGAAAAGATCGTAAATTTTTATCGATAATTATGTAAATGAATGAATGAATGAACCTAACGAGATAAATGAATTATGGATTGATTTATTATTGAAAGTTTCTTTAATTAAAAGACTATAATTAATTATTGTATCGTGTTTATTATATATATTATTATAGTGCCATTGGTAAATCATAGGTACAAATAATATTACAAATTATTCATATAGGTAGGTAACTAGGTGAAATATTTTTTTGCGGTGTTATCATTATCAAATTCGTAAAGCAATAAACAAGTAATATTCTGTTACGATCGACTGCTAACTAGCTTTTGGTCTCAACAAATGTTATAATCTGTCTCACGTCACGGACAAAAGTTTCATCAATAGCCTATTTCTACACCACTAAATTTTAATCACCGAAAAAAAAAATTCTGGGTAATGGGTTATTGATACTGATCCCATTTGTGCAAAAAAAAGAGTAAAATAAAGTGACTCAAAATATCCTCCTAAAATTGGTAATTTATTGACACACGCGTCACTAGCACTATTCAAGAACAATAATGTAACACTAATTAAAATTAAAAATGGTCTAAGTAAGCTAATTATGTAATAATAACACTGGAAGCGTGGTCGAGGCGTGAGCGAGACAGACAGATCGATGCAACGTGTGAGCGCGTACGACTACTCTAGCGAGCACCGGAGTGACCCAGCTGTGACGCGTAAAATACGGACTAACGAAAATTTAATAAAAAAATTAACTTCATGAAAACCATTTCTTTTTCTTTTGCTTTCAATATTCCACACGTTTCTACATAACCTGTTAAATTTTTTTCGGTGATAAAAATTTAGTGGTGTATGTATACATTTCATCAAACACAATTTGATAACATTATGACAATGTATTGCTTTGTAGCGCTTGCAGTACGGATGCACTATCTGATATTATTTAATTCTTATCTAATGTTGTTGATATTCTTATGTTTAGGTTTATTTTTTTTCAAAATTTTATCTTACTGTTTTTTCGGCGTGATTAATATACATACCTCCACAAAATTACAGCTCTCTAGTGCCAATAGTTTCCAAGCAAAACCTCGGACAGACAGACAGCAAAACTATAAGGGTTCCTTGTCAGGACTACGGAACCCTAAAAAAGGTAGCCCTTTAGGGCACTTTATATGTCTCCTTATCTTTTGAGCCCTACCAGTTACAAAATTTGAACCATAAATGTTTTGTGTCTACTGATATTTTGGTGAATTAGTTGACTTTTAAGATAAAATCTAAATATATAAAAGGAGAAACTGACTGACTGACTGACAGATCAACGCACAGCCTAAACGGCTAAACGTAGGCACTTGAAATTTGGAACCTAAGCTACGTAGGTACCGTAGAGGTGCACTAAGAAAGGAATTCCCGAAATTCCCACGGGAACGGGAATTAGCGGGAAAAACAGGATTCACGCGTACGAAGTCGCGGGCGGCCGCTAGTATCTAATAAAATTTGATAATGATTGTACTTACAAAGGAGTTGTCCCAAAATGTATGGAGCCTAGGCCCACAACCTGTACACCTACCAAAAAGAAGGGCTTTTAAATGTACAACAGTTTCTTATTATTCAATTTCTTTTAAATAGCTTAGTTTATTCGCTTAAAACAAAAGATTGTTAAGAAAATAGCAATACTCAACCACAAAAACCATCATGGTGGACGAATGTCATTTTGATGACATCTGTCACTTTTGACATTAAGTCGTATCTTGGTGGAGAGTGACNTCTAAATAGACTATCTTATGGAGCTGTTTCACCAATACGACTTATAATCGGAAAATATAATAAATGCTTCACCGCTCTTAAAGCTGTAACGTGTCTTTTCCCAGCATATCTCCCTCAAGTGGAAATTGAAACCACGACGTTTCCCTTTTAAACTAAACTATTTTGAGAAAAAGTTAAGCATTTTTTTTTATTTGTTGTAGGACGAGCGATTGAGCGGGTGTGCGCGGGCGCAGACGGAGCCGGCATGGTGTCGGCGGCGCGCGCGCTGCTGGCGGCCGTCACGCGCGTGCTGCTGCTCGCCGACATGGTCGTCGTGCGGCAGCTACTGCTGGCCAAAGACAAGGTTAGCTACCAAACACGAGTTGCCATAGTCTACTCTAACCACTGAGAGAAGTTTCGAGCTGGCATGGTGTCGGTGGCGCGCGCGCTTCTAGCGGCCGTCACGCACTAACCACGAGTCACCTAGTCTACTCTAGCTACCGACAGAAGTTTCGACTGTGGTCCTACTTTACAGGATGACGGAACTAATGACTTATGAATTTCTCATTTAGTCTTACTTATGTTAGATACAGTATATGGTGGGCAATATAATGCATTTAGAGGCAAAATGTCCTTTAAATGACGCGACACGTTCAATGTACGTCATTCGATCCAATATTTTACGCATTTAGGCTGGGCTTTATTCAGAAATTATCAAAAAATACTAATTGAGTTTGTTCAATGAACTAAAGACGGGGTTGTCCCATCTGTTATGTAAATAGTATAGCTAAATGCACTCGACGCTTCGCGCATCGGTAATGACTGATCAGGGTTTGAAAGACTTTAGTTATCCATATACTCGTACTTAGGAGTCAGTCTCATCAGTCTTTTATAAGATTTGCTCCTCTGAACAAAACGCCACCTTTCTCACATTTAAAATTTCTGACTAACTTCCATTTGACCCGGATACCTGATGGAGTTTGTACATAATACAGAATCCGAAGTTCCGACCGCCTCATCAAGTAACTAGGCACTTAGCGCCTCGCAAGTTGGGCGAAGTGGGCCGGGTCACATGCAGGTGGCGCCCGACCCGACGGGACCGAATAGTTGACTCAAATCAACTATTAATTACGGATGCTGTTAACAACTATGTATTTTGGAGTTCCCTTCCCAAATGTATTGATTTTACCCTCTCCTTTAGGCAGTCGTAACGTGTAAATGCAACTCATGCTTTGATCGTAACGAAATGTATCGACTTGCTAAGAGTTTCTTTCCTGAAACACTGTTTCTACTTTAATTGAATACCTATCCTTGAAAACGTTGTTATGCATATGAAGTTACCTAAGCTTGCAGCTGCACATTTGTACAGGTATTAAAGAGTCGCTTAGGATCGATAAAGATTAAACATTCACGAATACTTAGGTTGGTACCGATAAATAAATAGGCAGACATTGTAGTAATTTAGGTGTAAACCTAAGAGCTATGACTGTGAGTGTAGAATTAAGACTCAATCAATACCTAAATATAAATGTCGATACTAGCTGACCCACCACTTCATTCCAGTGAATTACTTTTCAGTCAGTCAAGAGTTAGCCTGGTATGTGTTTGAATAAGCTGGTCTTAACTCCTGATCTCTGGTGTCAAAAACCCGCTTTTCTGTTTAGGTGGCACGCTCACTGGACAGACTGGAGTCGGTGTCAAACTTCGCGGAGTTCGTGCGAGCGTTTACGGAGTTCGGCGGCGGCATGGTGGAGCTAGCGAGGCTGACCGCCGAGCGTCGCGCGGACCTGCGCGACGAGCGGCGGAGAGCGCAGGTGGCCGCTGCCAGAAACGTACTGGAGCGGTCCACGCTCATGCTTCTTACCTCATCTAAGGTAAGAAATTATTCCTGACACTACAGTTGACTATAAGTTTCATGGAGTTCGGCGGCGGAATGGTGGAGCTAGCGAGGCTGACCGCCGAGCGTCGCGCCGACTTGCGCGACGAGCGGCGGAGAGCGCAAGTGGCCGCTGCCAGGAACGTACTGGAGCGGTCCACGCTCATGCTTCTTACCTCATCTAAGGTAAGAAATTATTCCTGACACTGCAGTTGACTATAAGCTTCATGGAGTTCGGCGGCGGCATGGTGGAGCTAGCGAGGCTGACCGCCGAGCGTCGCGCCGACTTGCGCGACGAGCGGCAGAGAACGCAAGTTTAGTGGCCGCTGCCAGAAACGTACTGGAGCGGTCCACGCTCATGCTTCTTACCTCGTCCAAGGTAAGACATTATTCCTGACACTGCAGTTGATTACAAGCTTCATGGAGTTCGGCGGAGGCATGGTGGAGCTAGCGAGGCTGACCGCCGAGCGTTGCGCCGACTTGCGCGACGAGCGGCGGAGAGCGCAAGTGGCCGCTGCCAGGAACGTACTGGAGCGGTCCACGCTCATGCTTCTTACCTCATCCAAGGTAAGACATTATCCCTGACACTGCAGTTGGCTACAAGCTTCATGGAGTTCGGTGGCGGCATGGTGGAGCTAGCAAGTTCGCTACAAGCTTCATAAAGTTCGGCGGCGGAAAATACTACATCCTAAATGGCTTTCACTTCAGTACAATGGAAACTGATGGTCTTACGAGTACATACTTCGAAGAGCGAAAAAGAGAAGGAAACATAAAACGTTATAATTTACCGATTATAATCTTTACTCGTAATGATGTCTGAATAGTGCACTATTCACTTAGTTCATGTTTTGTCCAAGCGGCATGTTACACCCTGTATACACATCGCAAAAATTATAGACTCTATAATTTAGAGCTTAAGTTGAAAATGGCTGAAACTACCGATAATACTAGAGGATGCGTCACGCGATGCGAACGTACACCTGCTAGATCAGTCCACGTTTAATATGCTCTGTGTGCTACGTGTTTATTGCTTCATCCAAGATTAGAATGGCATAGTTTGTGAATATTGTATTATATCGTACAATATTACCTAAACAATATAGAGCCTAAAGAGCGTTGCTAATGTAAATGAGAGCCCAAAACCTAATAACGTAAGAACACACATAAATCCCTATCAAGGCTGGTATTAAATTTAACACCTTGACCTACTCGAGGGATTGTTATTAACACCAATGGATCGCAATAAATTTCCAATCCCAGTGTCCGGCAAGGGCGCGGGTGCTGCGTATATTAGGGCTGTCGGCCGGCGCCGCCGCCGATCAATTATGTAGGGGCTACGACAATTCGGCTCCGCTCCGTTGTTTGCGACAATGCAGCCTTTATGGACTGGACCATGCTTCATGTTATTTTATAGCCACTGTCCTTCACAAGCGTAATCAACGCCGCCACACAAACAGACCCCAAACCGCCGCGCTCAAGCCGGCTTCTGACTTACACCGCACAAATGACACGCTTCGTTATAACTAAGCGCTAAGATTTACACTGAGCCCACATAATGACACTTTTAATTCGGCGAGATCCCAGAAATGGAACGTTTTAAGTGCTCGTGTGGCCGCATAAACTTCCCAAAGGCACTTTTGGGAGAAGCGAAGCTATATTTCGTTTAAATGTCTTGCTTGTTTAGGTACCTAAAGTATATGAGCCTAAAATTTTGCCGTCGCGCCTTATCGTAGCTTACCTACCTAGCCTTTATACACAAAATTATAACTTCCATATTTTAATTAAGTTGATTAGGCATTCTGGTAGACAGTACCTTCTTGAACATAGTTTTTTGATTTAAAAAAAATTAAAGAAAATATTTTTGGCCAATGTGAGCGGGCGGGCAATGTGCAGTCAGTCTGGAATGCAGAGACGTGCACACTGCACACTGCACAATATGTCAGCTTTTCCGGGACTGCTGTGTCGCTCTCTTCCTTTTGCATCGTTCCAAATAAATCTACCTTTTCTTATTCGTGCTTTCAAAATGTCCAGTAAAATTCATCAACCGTTATTTTACCAAAATTAAAGTGAGCCTCTCACTGCACCTGGATACAAAGTGTGAAATATTGTGAAATTCCTTGGGAAGGCCCTCAGTCAACACACTTTGGTTGAATCGTATGAATATCTATAAATAGGGTATTAAGTATGATAATTATTCTCCACTCTATTTTCGTCTATCATCTGATTTTTCTATCCAACCACAGGCGTGCCTGCGCCACCCGGGCAGCGCATCGGCGCGGGAGAACCGCGACACGGTGTTCTGTCAGATGCGGCGCGCCATGGACCTCATCCACTACGTGGTGCGCGACGGACTGCCGGGCCACGACGAGCCTACTCACGAGGTTTGACACATTAGTAAACCATGTTGGCTGCAATTCTCACCCTTATTGTCATTGTTTTACGGTGCTCCCTCATTCAGGCGTTATGTAACAATGCTTGATTTGATTTTGAGCCTTGCGACAAATCAGATCTTGTTGTAACATTACACGCGAGCGCTCCCAGTGAGGGAGTACCCTTATGTTATGGGTCTTAGCAACATAAACTGGCGATTAGCGATGTTGTGATAACGCACCGCGTTGTGGCGATTTTCTTCATAGTTCGCCGATGCTAATGTCGTGTCTACTAAGACCCTTAATGGAAATATGAATACAAGGTGTATAAGTAAACTCTGCTGGACATTAAAATTACATACCTAGAAAGCTGATACTCAGCAGCAACTTTTGCTAAAGTAGCAATATTAAAAAATATTTCAGTGTAACTTCCATAGTAAAAGTTTTAGGATCGACCCGTTTTCTTATACACCCTGTATTATCCTAATAACAAAGTTTTTGTTATATTTAACGTGTTTATCTTATAAAGGACTGCTCGAACTATCCCACTGGCTTCCAACTCTCTCTCAAGCGAACCTGTAACAGGTCTTAATAGTTTAATATTGATAACTTTAGCATGCTGTCGGTCCTGTAGAGCTAACTAACCTGCAAATTTTTCCTATGCAAGTACGTAAACTCCTTCAATATTTAGTTTTAGTCATTAATTATAGGTTTTCTGCTTATTTTTCAAACGCTACAGTATCAATCTTCCGTTTTAAGAATATGGCTACTATTGTTAACTACAAAGTATTCGTAGTAATTTACACACAAATTGTAGGTATTAAAATTTATGAATACTACATTCCGCAGATCGCACGACAGCATTCCTGTAAGAATATTTAATTGTAATTGTAACATTTTAATCAAATTTTCAATTAGGTATCTCAACTAATGAACTACGCAATCCGTAATGCAATCACGGATGTGTAGCACACTAGGTAAAGCAAACACAAACAATAAACATCCGTGCAATCGCGAGTGTTGTGCAAATACAATGCATTCCGTCGAACACAAAGCTTAACGTTCAGTTGCTAGGAGCGTTAGTGCCGGCTTACAGCACAGAATCGCTGACTGAGCACTAAACCAACCACAATCGGCGGCCGAGCGCACGCCGCAATCCTTCTTGAAATATGCTACGGTCTACTGCGACGTGAAAACGCACGATTGCGCTTCAGAAATTCAAGGCATATCGTGGACAGCAGTGGACTGTCGCTGGCTGTATTCATCTTTGCTACGAGTATATCATTGAAACTATTAATTTGGAACCTAAATATAACCTTTTAAGTTCACTGAATCAGAATTTTAATTTTAGTCCAGTCAATGAATGCCTTAACAACGGTGTAGAGAGAAATCCGTGGAACACAATTTCTGACCTCGGGACTTTATTTAGCCTAGTTAGGTGGTGAACATAGCAAAAGTCCCCGCCCTTAGCCCTTGAGCCGGCAGGGAGAGGGGGGTTTAAAGGTACCACTTTTCGGTTTTTCGCTTAATCCTCGGAAACTATGCGTCCTAGTGACATGGCTACTATGAACCAAAAAAAGCTTATTCAATTTGCTACAGGTGAGACGGTTAAGTTTTTCTATATTTTGTATAGTTTTCGCGGCATCTGCTCTAGAAGGTCTGTAATATTGGAAATTTTAATTTTGTCTTACATGTTCCCATCAGGAGCAAATCGACTAAATCAACATTGAGCAAACATTATAGACATGCGGGAGCATGTTAAGCCTAGTTCCAGGGAGGGGACTGCATCGTGCGTATATTTAGACGAACTAATTGGAGCCACTTTTGACTCCTCATCACTCAAAAAGCACTGTGCATTAACACTTCAAATTAGGCTCATGTGTTGAGACTTGCAAGATAAACAGCAGCTTCAAATTTCATAAATATAATTCAAACGGTTATTTAGGTATTGACGTTCAAAAATCGACATTTAGGACACTAAAATCTATCTATCATCTGTGAAATGTTAAAATTTACTGGTTTTTTATTTGTTCCTTTGTATTTACACAACTACCTATCTGAATGCCAAATTTGAACCTTCAAGGTCATCTGGAAGTGGTTAGAATTTGGTCTTATAGGTCAGCCATGTAGATTTTTAGACGTCAATACCTAAAGAACCGTTTGAGGCATATTTATGAAATTTGAAACTGATGTATATCTTGCAAGTCTCAACACATGAGCCAAATTTGAAGTGTTAATGCACAGNCGACTCCAAAAAACCTATATTAAAAAGTAGAAAAATAATTACTAATAACCTACTTATTTATTAGGACGAATTAATATTTATGTAGGTATACCATGATTGATACTTTTGGAGTCGGTGCAGGCAAACTTTACATGTTTCATAATCTTGGCACCGACTCCAGAAGTATCAATCATGGTATACCTACATAAATATTAATTCGTCCCAATAAATAAGTAGGTTATTAGTAATTATTTTTCTACTTTTTAATGTAGGTTTTTTGGAGTCGGTTTTATTTTTTTTTATAAAATTTTTTGAGTGATGAGGAGTCAATAGTGGCTCAAAGTGGTTCGTCTAAATATATGCACGGTGCAGTCCCCTCCCTGGAACTAGGCTTAACATGCTCCCGCATGTCTAGAATGATTGCTCAATGTTGATTTAGTCGATTTTCTCCTGATGGGAACATGTAAGACAAAAATAAATTTTCCAATATTACAGACCTTCTAGAGCAGATGCCGCGAAAACTATACAATTTATCAAAAAAGTTGACTATCTCACCTGTAGCAAATTAAATATGCTTGTTTTGGTTCATAGTAGTCATGTCACTAGGACGCATAGTTTCCGAGGATTAAGCGAAAAACCGAAAAGTGGCACCTTTAAACCCCCCTCTCCCCGCCGGCTCAAGGGCTAAGGACGGGGACTTTTGCTATGTTCACCTCCTAACTAGTCTAAACAAAGTCCTGAAGTCAGAAACTGTGTTCTACAGTTTTCCATCTATAATGCTTTATTGACTGGACTATTTACTAATATACTACTATGTAGTTTATAGAGTTATCTAGATTTACTGGCGACAATGAAATAATGACAGAGTATTCTTGAACAATATTTATCATATAACGTCATAAATATTAAGTCGGCAGTCGTAAATACCTAGTTATAATGTTTATCTTGTTTGCATTCATAAAATATGATAAAGGAACAAGTTTAATGACATCGATAAATATACCAAAACGATAACACGATACTTACAGCTACTTTTACCGAATAGATACCAATATTAAACTACATTTCATCGTAGGTATATTGTACCTCCGTATATCCACAATGTTCTGTCTAAACCCTATTACAGGTATAGATCAAATGCAAATTGAACATAAACAATGGGGACAACAATACAATGAGATCACTACAATTTATGGGCCTACTGCACCACATTACTTGCACAACTAGACTAGCGTAGTGAACCAATGTCGATAATAATTCGATTAATTAAAGCTTAATTGTTAACTTATAATCTATTGGAATTCCATGATTGCTAATGAAAATTTATTTTTTAGGTAAGACCTTATAGCTCTACATGAGTAATTAAAAGTATAATTGTCTTTTAAACAGAGTTGAAACTCATTATTTCTGCTTTAAACAATCAAAAACAACGTACAAGTAACACACAAGTTGATAGTAACTTCGTAACATAATGGCTGTGCGTTTGCCGTAACAATTTTAGTATGTAAATTGCTGTAACGTGCCTTTCACGTAAAGTTCGCAACACCTATCAGAACTAATCTACTAACGGGGAAACTATGAGAGACTGCGGTAAATGCTCCGCACACTAACATATCGGGGACATGACAAGCCATCGTTTGAAATACCTAATGGGAAATTCCCTCCGTTGAAATCAAATTAGGTCTACAATATTATGCCAATAAAATAATGTGAAATGACCATTGTATTTCGAATACAAAATAAAACACGTGCGCTTTGATTACCCAAATTATTTTTATTCCTTTCTCAATTTGATTATGCATGAAGCTTTTTTTATTTCGAATGAAATTTTAAGGGTTTTAGGGATATTTTTGATTTTAGGGACAAACTCCGCTCCGGGTACAGAATACAAGCCACCGGCTGCAAAACAAGTTGAGCGGGAACCCTGCACCGCCCATGAGCACGGTAGGACGATTAAGTGTTAATTCATTGTTGTATTCGTTGCTTTTGAAATAATATTTAAATTCAAATAGACTTACAATCAACGGCTTATAAACTGAAAGTTCTTGAACGACAGAAAATTTCTCTGCCACCGTACAACTGAAAAAATACCTCAAAATACCAGTGGAAATTCAAGTTCTAGCATGAATTCGAGACATCTGCCTCGGCACGAAGAGTCTGTATGTTTGAATCTTCCTTCAGACACGTGAGCACTAAACAGCGCGCTACACTATCACGTACGATCGTCTCATAACGAGTACCACTCTGTAATACCAAGTTAAATATTTTCTGCGAGGAATACTGATCCGCGGTAATGCTCGGCGTGGCGGGCGTCTGAAAGGAATGGTGCAACTCCGTGTGAGCAATTTGCAAAAATCATGATGGAGTTTTTGAAAGAAAATGTAAATCGCTATTCCGAAAGAAAATATCGGTACGTAGTGGAGACACCTAAGCGTGACAGTTTTCATAAAATTATTGCAACCTCGTAGACGGCGTCAGAAATAAACAAAATGGTAGGTAAGGATCTTTGACACTGACTCTACTAATAAATAAATATAGGTAGGTATATCGTTTAAAAAGCAAATAGGTAATTATTATAAACTTTTCCAATAAAATTTTAAACGACAAACTCATTTTTTCTATGCTACGAAAAAATCCTGCTACATCGTAGTTCGTAGCAAGGTTCTCGTAGCAAGTTAACAACGCGTGAGCACTGAACCGTGTTATGTAAACAAACGCTGCTATTATGCTGAAGAGTTCGTTACATGCTACGGAAAACATACTACATAAATTATCTTACTCACACATACATAATATCTTTAAACATATTATGTTAAGGTCTTCGTAAGATCATTTCCGGCACACGGCTCCATAATTATCATCCAAGAGATGGGAATTTTACGTAGCAACATGTGCATAGGTGAGGCAGTGGGGGAGGGGGATGACATGAGACGCTGGAGTGGTTTCCGAGATACGCCACCGGAAGTACACGTAACTACGCGCTAGAGCCGCGCAAGACTCTTTGATGTCGATGCTTTTCGCAATCCTTTGTGTTTTGAAGTACGTCTCGATGGGTTCGAGTGTACTGTGAAAACTATCGCGATCAAACTCTAGACGATTGCAGTTTTTGTGACCTGACATGATCAAATACTTAGGTCTTGGAAAAGATTAGGTAAATATAAGAAAACTAAGATTATGTATAATAAAGGAAAATGCTTGGACGTACGAGTAATAAATTGAAAACTACATATAATAGACTAGTAGTGAACAAAATAATTGACGGAAAAATTAATTTCCAAAAGTAAACATCCCTACCCCAAAAGGGCGATCTCATTTCTGTTTAGTGACAAGAAAAATGATTATCGATAGTTTACGGGCATCCTGGCAGCTCAAAACTAAGCACGTTTGGGATCATAGCGCTATCGCGATGGGCAACTTCAATATACACCCGTCCCTTAGCTATAACATGTTCCCCGACAAAGGTTATCATTTAATAACATAATAACCTTTAGCCTACTCCCAAGTTACACGAAATGTAACGGTACGCGAACAAGCAATTGCAAAGATCAATAAGCTCTTATGAGATCTTTAATATTTAATGCGATCCAAAATTACAAAAGCATATTTGTAACAGGATCAGATTAATGAACATGAAACTTTAAGTACCCACCCTATTTAATATTCTGATAGATTCAGTGGAGATGAAACGTAAGTATATGTTTATTGAGTCTATTAGATCTGCCCTCTCTCTCTTGTGTAAATTCCTTCTTTTATCCTTGACTTTAGCGAGTCCGTCTCTTCCTGTCTCAAATGCGTTGAACATAAACACGACTTTTCTTTTCTTGTAGTTGCAACCTTTCTCGGATAGTCATGAACAGGTACAAAGTAATCAGTGTAGGTAGATGAGTGCCTTCCACATTTTTTCTATGAAAGTATGCTAATATTGTAAATACATTTTAGAGTATTTCTGCTTAATCTTTATCATACACTTGCTTCCTTATACAATGTCATAGCCCGTGGGTTTTTATTAGAACTACAACGAGACGTAGTTATTTGCTCAAGATTTAATTGTTTCCACTTCTCCAAAGGGTAGGTTTATCAGATACGGTATAAGGAAGCATAAGTTTAATCTACGTTTTTAACCGCACTTATTACATGTATTTTACCTAATCTTAGAATTAGTTTTTAAAGTAAATAGATCAAAGTGGTATCTCAACCTTAGGTACGATTCCCTCTCACACAACTTGCTGATAACACGCTCTAAAATTGCTTAGGTCTCTGGCCTAACTAGCTCAGCTTTACGCAAAACTTAAAATACTTAATAAGTATGTAATATTGAATTAATTAATAAGTATCCATTAGTTTTATTTTTTCTATGAACGCACAGGCTATTCTTTTATACACACAAAAGCACTGGTGAGTAAAAAAGTAACAAATTGAAAAGTAATTGAATTCTGGATCTAGAAATTATGCTTTTTATCGGCTAGTAAAAATCATGTAGGTTGATAAATTGTTTTATTCAGATTAATAAATTTTGTCTTTGTCCTTCTATCCGCGTAGTCCAGATTTAATAGAAATTGTGGAGTTGATGTTGTGTGAAGGGCGCAAATAATTGTTTGTATGTATCTGTGACATTCTGGTTGGATGTATCCACAGGCTGCACAGTGGGAAGCTGGCACGGCTTTGGGCGCTCTACGAGGCCTAACGGCACAAGTGCGAGCGGCACGGGCCCGCGGCGGGGCCGATGCGGGCAGGAGGCGGGCCCTGGCCGGCACCCTGCGGGCCCTGGTCGAGCGAACGCACGACTTCACCGACTCCGCCTACACCTCTCACGATCATAGACAGAGAATTCTGGCACTCGCCGAGAGGATAGCGTACGAGTTGGAGAGGCTAGTCGCAGTCGCTGTGTCTATGGTGAGAAATTATATCAAAGTGAGAACAACCGTTTTTTATTTTCTTCGCTGTAATTTATTTACCTATTTTTCAGACTATGCATGCAGGGTATATTTTCTGCAATTTATCTGTATCAATTCTCAAAAACATCGCTTCTCTGAGTACCTAAATAATAAGTGTGTGGGATAAATAGGAGGAGCAAGGCACGACCGGCGCCGGCGCAGCGTTGGAGAGCGCTTGCGCCGGCGCCAACAGCGCGGCGTCCGAGCTGGAGCGCGCGCTGGTGAGCGCGGCCCGCGACCAGGCGCGCGACCTGGCGCCGCTCGCCGACGAGGCGCGGCGGCTCGCCTCCGACCTCGCGCACATAGGTAACCTACGACGGAAAATAGGTACAGCGGTGCTTTTATAAGGAGCGAACTCCTTGCGCCCTGGTCACATTCAAATCACACCACGACGCAAGGATGCTTCGCTCCCTATAAACCACCTCTTCTGACACATTACTACGATTACTAACAATATCTCAATGAACTTTCTATTCCCATTTATCTGGAGTCTGTTTCTAGCTAGTTCCTGTGGAGAGAGAGAATCAGAGAGACTGCACAACATAGCCAGCCGGCTCCACGAACAATTAGATCACATAATAGAGGTAGGCAGTCTGACTCGAACATTAAGTACCTACGAGTATGGTTGATTAGGGTTTATTGGAGTCAGGCAAGTAGGATAATTAAAATTGGAGTTTATCCCTCAGGTATGCAAATTACTTAGACACATAGCAATGTCTGAAACGCTTCAAGTGAGCGCAAAGTTCGCGGAGATAAACTTGAGGATATACGGGCCGCAAGTGGTGACGGCGGCACGGACGTTAGCAGCGCACCCGGGCAGCGCGGCGGCGAGAGAGAATCTCGACGTGTTCGTGGACATGTGGGCCTGGTTGCTGGCGGATGCAGCGCGCCTGGCCAGGGAACTCCTCGACCTCACAGATGACCGGCCCGACAAGCAGCAGTACAGTAGTTTACCCAGGCCTGGAGTAAGTTTCAGTAGCAACAATTATTTTCTGAATATCATTTACCTAGTTAACATATTATTATTATTCATAACCAGGCAAACTTAGGTGATGATTTTCTGGTCAAACAAGCTCATTTCAAACTCTCTATAGAAGAATAGGAAGAGGGATGACGCTAAGTGCACTTAATTTTGTTAACTTCACGTTACAGAAACATGGTACGACGAGTAAACCGTTGAAGGCGGTGCGATTAGACTCTGACGAGCAAGCAAAGATTGCCAAGTCAGGTCTGGAGATGAAGATGATGTCCAGTGAGATGGACGCCGAGACTGAAAAGTGGCAGGGTGCTGCTGCTGACGAAAACAACGACATTGTGAAGAGGTAATATTAACATAATAATGTTTTCCTGAAATCGTAACATCCAGGTAAATCATAAGAATACTATAAAATTATGTTTATGTTTTTTTTTTAGGGCAAAAAATATGTCTTCCATGGCTTTCGCTATGTACCAGTTTACAAAAGGCGAAGGCCGTCTAAATACAACACAGGACCTCTTCACGCAAGCGGAATATTTTGCAGAAGAAGCAAACCGATTGTACAAAATAGTTCGTCAATTTTCTTATCAGGTAAGTCAGCGGGAAAAAATTTTTTTAATGTAGAGTCTCATCGAGGTGACATATTTATGATTTTTCCAGGTACCAGCAGGTACGACGAAAAAGGAACTGTTAGAGCACCTAGACAAAGTGCCCACATACGTTCAGCAACTACAGTTCACAGTCAAAGAGCCGACGGTGGGGCGCGCAGCCACCTTCAGCAAAGTAGACAATGTCATTCAGGAGACTAAACACCTCATGAATGTCATAAGCAAAGTCGTAACCACGTGTTTCGACTGCGCGAATAAGGTGACCACTCTTTACTTATTTTTTCTTATGATATATTTTTTCAATTATTACGACCTTTTTGAGCAACACGTCGCACATTTTGAAAGATTAGTGATTTTTCTATAGGAAACATAAAGATGTTAGTGCATTGGAACGTAATGTTCCATAGGTACCTTTGCCGTGGGAGGCCAGTGTGGGAGTGGTTAAAAGGCACCAGAGTGTTGCACCTGTTAAGTACTTTAAAGATTCTCTATTTCATTCGTGACTGTTAGACTTTCGGGAAACGGGTGAAACAGTGTGATCACAGTTTCGAGATTTATTCTTGGTTTATTTATTTTTACTGAAACAGCAGTAAAAGTATTTATAAATGGCAAAATTTTGATATTAAATGAAAGATAAATTAATGAACGGAATCAAGAATAAATCTTCTTAGTTCTTTAGATACTAGTTTGAAATAGTATAGAGCAATTATTGAAGTACAGAAGAATCCTGTTTACTGTATATTTTATTTGTTTTTTATTTCTGTTTTCCTTCTCGCCACGCAACGGGCGGTTCCTACTCCAGGGTCTTATACCGCTGGACAAAGCGATAAACAAATCCTCAGCGAATACAAGGGACGACTCGGTCTGTCTCCGACTTGCACTATTATAAACATTCCCAACATTCATGTCCTCTCGTACTTCTGTGTGTACCTGTGTATGTAGTGTCAAGCATGTTCTGTGTTATCATGCTCACGACTGAGAGCTCATCAACTTAGATCTACGTTATCGCTAAATTGAAGACACAAACTTAAAGTTATCATCAAGCTAGGGTGTAATTTTCTTATTTGCTATTTAAATTAAAACATTGCAATACAATATTACTATTGAATAATTTTTTCAGTTTTATGGATACTTAATTTGTAAAAATAAATTATTTTTTGTTTAACATTTTGTTCTTTTATGTTTTACTTCCTATTACAGTATTCCCTGTGTATGCCCGAGAGAGTACCTATGCATTGGAAGCCAAATTTACGAAAAGCATCCACATTTAAGAGTGAAAATAGTGTATTGAATGGTTGAAGTAGGTACAAATTGTTAAAACTGTGATTTTCTCTAACAACCTCAGTTTGTAGCATAACATACAAACTGGCACTGAACTCTTCTAATCCCGTGGTTTATATTGAAGTTTAGCGTAGAATTGTTTGGTGGTGTATCCCATAGCTACTTTTTGAATGTTGTTGATGTGATGTTGCAATGAATTTTATCTAGTTTAGTATCTGTGTGGTATTTAATCATTGGTCTTAAAGCTTATAAAGTTAATAATTATAAGCTTTGAGTTTGTACATTCTTTTTGTGGAGTAAAGCTAGAATTTGCGTTTAATCAAAATATGTGTGTTGGAACTAAATTATACTAACTTGACTAACTAACCAAACAATGGCCATGGTGGGTCAGCCGACTATAGCAGCTGCTTTGTATAATTCAGAAACGTTTCGCGTGCATGGTGTTACCCGTCATATCATTGGGTTAATTTAGGCGTTGCGTAGACTCCGAAGACTGACCTCGGATTCGGCAACAGCAGGCTTTCAAATATCGGTGTTATTTTTGTACAACTTATTCCATTTTATTTTGAAAACATGCGTTTATCGAATCCGAGTTTCGGATGAAAGGTGTTCGTAGAATGTTTTGTAATAATTTCTGATTTCTAATATGGATGTCGTGTGATGCAGTACAAACTGGACTTCACCGGGCTATCGGCGGGCGGGGCGGGCGCGGGCGGCGGGCGCGGCGCGGCGCGCGACGAGGACGGCGGCGGCGGCGTGGGCGGCGACGCGAAGCCGGGCGGGAGCTCCTCCGACACGGCCATGTGACAGTACGGCATGGGCCGGCGCGGCAAGGGCGACGCGCGCCGGACCAGGGTCAGCTTCCTCTTGTTTTAAAGACTTAAACGTCTCTTAAAACGACACGTCGCCTGACGTCGGGAGGACAAACCTCGTGCTCGGTACACTGCTCTGTCGGCAAGGTTTACTGCCTTTGAATATAATTCGCAGTAGAATAACAAGTACAAGATTTGCCTCGTAAACTACTATTGTTGTTGTTATAGATCTATTCTATAGCTGTTTGAGTCGACAGATATTTTTATAAGATCGTTTTATACACGGTTATGTAACTTATTTTTGAGATTGCATAATTGGTGCAAGATGAATATTTATTTAATGAGCCTTAGGCCTTAGGATATCATAAAGACAACGAACGACCTTCTAACAGAGTTCTGTGTATCCAGAGTGATGTTTGTCCGAGAATCACATGGATCGTCGACTACGAGCCGAAATTACGTAATTTTAAGAATGTAGGCGTCGATACATGTGAATCTTTAAACCGACCACAAATGCTGGCAACCGGTATAACATCGCACAAAGGGTTTGTGGATGTTGGATGGGTTCAGCTTTATTAAATAAGATGGACAGTACGATATTACAACTAAGTTTCGAAACAGCACTTGCGACACACAACGCGCCTGCATCGGGCGAGTCTGCAGAGTTAGTTAGATCTCTTACTACCTATTTAATATTAGATCGCAAGCATACGCGACGCATTTGGCTGTGGGTCTTTAATAAATCTACTGTTGTTTATTAATATAATAACTTGTTACTATTTAGAATTCTAATGTTAACGTCACGGACTCATACTTGTCTTATTCGACTTTCTGTAATTCTAGGGTAGAAAGGCATACTCGTACGCAAGCAGTATTTGCAATTACAAATTTTGCCTCGAATATAACAAATTTGTGATCAATAATTATTAAGAGAAGATTGAAATCGTACAATAAATACTTGTTACACTTTCATAATGTTACACATTGTTACATATAATACGTAAACAACAACACAAAGAAGCCTATTTTTTATTTTTCCCTTTCTTAACCTATTTATGTGTAAGTGAACCTGTATCTGTGTAAAGAATATCTGTACCTACCTGTACCTGCCTACTCTACTACCCTGCTATATACCTATATACTTAAGCTTCTACTATACTATACGCACCTAACTGCACATTCCGTGGTCCTGTTGCACATTGTTTTGAGTTCTGCACGACACGCTTCCTTCACTTGGTTTATGCATTATGACGTCAGTTAATTTACAAAACATGCTACTTCTTCCACATTCTCCTCATGACCACACAATGTTACTCTGCATTCGATGTTATCGCATTAGTCGTTTCTCTTTCGACAATCTCGTGTAAATATAATTAGACGAACGATTTTTGATATTCGGAATGGCCAGCGGCTAAACTTGCATGATTGTGAATCGAAACAATAGATGTGTGTTGCATGTGTGTACGTGGTTATCGTAATGGATGTCGTACTTCATCTTCGAAAAAGATGTTTAATGTTAAGATGAGGGAACTTGACTCTGGTGGCTGCCTTGCAGCACCCCCGTCGCCCGAGAAACGCTCAGTGTTATATAGACAAACGGCGACGAGCCAGGCCCTTGCGGCGCTATACTTGTTGCATGCCTCTCTTCATTATGGACCGTATCTAGGACTACTAAGATCCATATCCTGTAGACATTCAAAACTTGATTCTATCTCAAAATAGTTTCATCCCTGTGATTGGCTGAATTTAATATTTGGTTCGACTCACAGGCTTAAATCTATTGAATGAAGGTAGAGTCATATTTGAATGTCATTTCAGAATAGGGACCTCAATGCAAAATTCACATATACTCAACATCAAATAAATCGCACCTTCCGCGACGCGGACTTTAAAGATTTTCTTCTGACATAATCATGGTGCCCCAACAATATTGGTGTTATTTGAAAGCCCAATAATTATCGTTAAAGAAAAACACATTCAATTTATTAATCAATGATTAACATATACCATAAATGTGACTTGAAAAAATACCTCACTTTGGGCTCACCTCTGGGATCAATTAGACCATTTTTTATGGTTATAAAACCAAATAATGATCTCACGTGTCCTCTTTAACAGATGGATAGCGATTAATCTCAACTTAACAGTTTTATACCCATAAAAGTTGGCTCAAGCGTAACTACCTATTTTTTCAAGAAGTGACTCTGGATCCTTCTAAAGACACATTTTTATGGTAAAAACCTTTCCCATAGTGAAATCAAGTTTAGAACTAGGCTTTTAAATAGTGCCAATATTGGTGGGAAGTGGAATGGATACGTTTGAAAGTGCTTGTCGCGCGAGGTGCGATTTATTTGACGACGAGTGTTTTATTGTGTTCCTGAAAAACCCAATTGGCATCCACAAGAAATTGGCATAGACAAAGAAATGGTAATGCAGCCAACTTACCTAGTTACGGTCCCTGCGTGTGCGCACGCTGGCTGCCCGCTCGCTGATCATATCACGCGGCTTGTCGCATCATCGACCATATCTGCAATATGTTAATATCCATTATGGCAATAAGAAACATATCAAATAAAATAGGTCTATTAGGTAATTGTTACTGCTGCTGACAGAGACGACGAAGTCGTTATTTAGTGTTTAAGTATAGTTAAGCGACAGACAAAGGTGCCTCTTACAGATATATCGGTTGTTGTTTATGAATCTAGGCGGTCATTGTGTAAGTGCTACCGGCTTGACACAAAACAGCTTGATATTGCGTGTTTGTAGTAAGATTGTACCTAATGTTAAATTAATTAGTGTAAACTGCTACTCACCACTCGTATTTGTTGTTTGACTGGTCTTTTTCTCGAGCTGTGTGTAACCGTACTTCTTTCTCTTATGATTAGTTGTCAATTACGAAACTGTAAAGCAGCAGTGAGGCGCCCGCGCCGCCGCCGCTGCTCGACAGTCCGCGCCGGCACTGGTCTGAGCTCGCTCTTGCTCTACTGATCTATATAACACTGCTTGTTTCACTGAAGGTACTATTAGCATTTACCTACTCTTCAAGTCTAATGACGATGTTAGCTTTTGTTTTATAACCATTGTTATAACTTACTACTACTTAACTACTATAAAACTTATTTACTATTGCCTTCTTAATTAATTTTATCGTAATGTATTTAGATTACTCTTAGATAAGCCAGATTCAATTTCTAATATGACGAGGAATTAGGCTAGTTACCACTAACAATATTTGACTAATGTAAAGAGCTTGATAAAGCTTTATATTGAAGTGTTGTGAATCGAACTATGTGGCCACGTAACATTAGATCCCAAGACTAGCATAAATTGCTTTGACTGTAACATACCAATTAAGTTTAATAAGAAAAAATTCTCGCACACTGCAGTGGGATATACGATTTTATTATCTATCGCGTAGCTGTGGTGTCATTTGCTTAACTATCTCTGCAACTTTGTCATGAACTTTAATATTTTTGCTCGTTACCTATTTGCTCTATCAAATTCTATTCCTCTAATGTCAAAGCTAGGAATTGCATAAGAGCACAAAATTTCTTAAAGGTCTTTGTTCTTCAGCTAATCTGCTCACAAAAAGCACTAATTTATAAAGCTTCTCTAAACTTACACTCGTCTCTAACATCAATTTTGCTTCTCTTTTAATAAATTGTACCTTAAATATTGATCTGAAAATTTGAAACTGCTAGTATTTACCTCTTAGCACAGATAACCTCACCTTGAATTGTGCCAAAACAATTCCAAGTAACTTTATGAAATAGGGTAAGTTCGTCGTAATAATAAATCTAATAACTATTTATTAAGAACGTCGTGTTTAATGTTTCATAATTTGCTTATAGTATTATATTCACATTAAACACGCTACGCAACGACATGGTAATTACAAATGTGGTACCTACATACAAGATACTAGGGAAATGTAACGAATGCTCTGTACTATAAATGTTAACGTTGAGATTAGATCATTTTATCTGCAATAGCAGCCGGTGTGCCTCCACATATAGTAATAATATTGTTGGTTATAGACCGGATGCCTGTGTATCCAGGCTCCGGGTCAGAGGTTCTGTTCCGCAAGACGTCTGTGCGTTTCGTCACCCGTCTCTTTCTTTCGCGTCGAATTNGTCTAGAATTATGACTTGAGTGAGAGCGACAGATCGAACTAATAACAATCGTATTGCGGAGTAGAGCCACAGGCTAATATGCGCGTACGCAGCCTGCAAGAGTGTACACTAAAACTATCAAACACTATAAATACCCCAGTTGTAATGTCATGTACTAAGGATTACATTAATGGAAAAAAGCAATAATTAAGCGAAAAAGTATACTCTCTTGTAGGTTGTTCCAAACACAATTTGACTTCCATCGCAATAAAAGTACCATAATTATGGGTTAGTGTATAGTGATAGAAATACAATGATTTGTGATATTACAAAATACTTATTGAAGTTTAGTACAACGTCCTTATAATTTCAGTTTTAATAGTAGTAATTTAGAGGATCACGAACAAGAACACCAATAATAGTACCATTAATATACTTAATAGCTAGTTATATTATTAGTAGAAATGGCATAGCTCGCGATATGGATCGAAGGAAAGCGCGATGGCTCCCATTGTTTTTCATTATTCTCTAAAATTAACGATCCTCATCTCGATTTATTAAATCAGTCGATAGACTAATAAAGTGTGGACAAATTAAGAATTTCAGTGCTTAAAAGTACCTATAGTTGGGCATATCGAAACACTGCTAGCAAAAGCAATATGTATAAAAAATTACTTACTTAATTTATTGAACCCTTTTGCCCTTTAATGTTTAGTTTCATAAAAATAAAAAAGCCTGAAAAAAATCCATTATTTTTCTTTAAATACTCGCAGGTACAGTCAACAATTAAAATGTGCACTTTTATAAATCTATTCGCATACATAAGCTAAATTAAATACAAATAAATTTGCACCTGACTGTACCTACGGATAGTCCTTTCCCTATTTACCCACGCGTGGTAAGTCTGGATGAATCGAAGATGGAAATTAAATGAACCAAGAAAATGAATTACTATATTAGCCTAATGCAGATACGCTGTTATCAGAGGTGCAAAGTACCTTACTTATAATAGTTATATTTTTACTGTCTCGTGTAATGTGTAAATGATCGTAACCCTGAAGGAGTTAAACCCCGCTAAAAGATTAGGTATTGTAAATAAAATTACTTTTGATAGACTATTGATTCAGAAAATCTTAGTTTAAATCACGTATCGTCGAATGTTTTAAATCAATCTAATATTAATTTATGTGTATATTAAAGATAAAGATTGTATTGTCGAAAAACTGTTGTGATTGTTATAATAATATATTTGAAGTTGCATTTTCATTGAAATAATTAAGTAGAAGTATATTTTCCATAGTGCTGCCAAAGATTATTATTATTAATATAATACCTAGATGTAGCTATGTTGTTTACATAACAGAATATTTTGAGGTTGTTCGTGAATTTATGGATTGTATTTTGATGTGGCAGACGAATGTATAACACTGTGTATGTGATCTAATACATCACCAAATAAAGAGAATTCATACG